CATCCTTCTCTTCCTCTTTCTCACCTTTCTCTTCTTCTGCCTCATCATCACTGATTTCCTTCTCTCTTTCTTTCTCCAGATAGAGGGTGATGGGGTAGCCTATGAACTGTGAGTGCTTCTTCACTACTTCTTTGACTCGTCTCTCTTCTAAGTATTCTGTCTGGTCTTCTTTAAGGTGCAAAATTACTTTAGTACCCCGACCAATGGGCTCACCATGGTCAGCACAAACTGTGAAGGAGCCCCCAGCTGAAGACTCCCAGGCATACTGCTCATCATCATTGTGTTTTGTGATCACTACCACTTTCTTTGCCACCAGATAGGCAGAATAAAAGCCAACACCAAACTGACCAATCATGGAGATGTCTGCACCAGCCTGCAGAGCCTCCATAAAGGCTTTGGTACCAGACTTGGCAATTGTTCCCAAGTTATTTATGAGATCAGCCTTGGTCATGCCAATGCCTGTGTCCACAAGAGTCAAAGTACGTTCCTGGGGGTTAGGGATGATGTCAATTTTCAGCTCTTTGCCACTGTCCAGCTTGAAAGGGTGTGTCAGGCTTTCATAGCGAATCTTGGCCAATGCATCAGAAGCATTAGAGATCAACTCTCTAAGGAAAATTTCCTTGTTGGAATAGAAGGTATTGATGATAAGAGACATAAGTTGGGCAATCTCTGCCTGAAAGGCAAAGGTCTCCACCTCCTCCTCTCCATGGTGCACTTCCTCAGGCATCTTGATGAAAAGGGTTCCAAGTACCAAAGAGGCGAGGGCAGGGTCTAAGAGCAGGCCGCACGAAAGCTGCCAGCTGCGCGGGGGTGACTCAAGGGACCCAAAATTGTTTTTTATTGCAGCTTGTAAGGAATTGAGACACACTGAACAGTGTGTTACACTTCTATCTTAACAAGGCCTTTTATTTCTGGGGAAGATTTCTTTTGGTGGATTAAAAACAATGAAATTACATGACTGCAATATACAAGGAATTAAAAACCTCAAACTCGAGTTCATTGATATCAAGTCAGAACCAAAAATCAGAACTGACTCATAGCTAACTCTCTACTGGGTTTCTGAGTCTGTATATTGCATAGAAGGAGACTGAACATCTTTCTTTTGGGAAGTCACTGGTGGATTCAAACTACCAGAGAAATGTCACCTTTGGGTTAACAGTGTGACTCCCTATAGACTACGACACAAGGCTATATCAAAAAATACATGTGTAGAGAGCCAGGAAAATCTAAAATATAATCCAGAAATTCCTTTTCCTTCCCTTTCTCCCTTTTCCACTTTGCTACCTACCATTACATCAATTATTTTCCTTGAAACCAGCTGTCAACAAGTCAGCTCATGACAACCCCACATGTTTCAGGGTAGAACTATGTTCCATGAGGTTTTCAGTGGTTGCTTTTTCCGGAAGTAAACCACAGGCCTTTCTTCTGAGGCTCTTCTGGGTAAACTTGAACAATCAACTCTTTAGTTAATAGCTGAGCATAACTATTTACACCCCTCAAGGACACCCCTGGAGAAGAAGAAAAGGTTTTAGAGGTTGAGGCAGTTACAAGATTTTTTTTCTTTTTCAATCTTCTTTTTCTGACTATAGACTCACAAAGAATTTGAGCAGGAGTGTCCTCACTCTTTAGACGATATGGCATTGCTTGTCTTTCCCAATTAAGGAATAGTTTTATAAAACCAACTAATCAAGACACAGTGCAGAGTAAACTTGTACAGGATTGGATATGCCCAATTCTTCAATCAGTTGTTTTCCCTGAGAACATAAAACTGTTTGCTGCTTGATTTGCACTAATAAAATCAATGATAGATGTACTTTCTTGCTGCTCTTTCTTTGCATGTGAAATTCTGTTCTTCATTCTTTCTCTCAGCTAGTTTCTTTTTTCCTTCAGAATCCATTGCTTTGGGGCTGTAGGCTCCCCAGGAATACAGTATTTATAAGGGAATATTTGTGAAGGTGAGTCTTTAAGTAAAATAATATATAGCAACATCTCTTTGGGTAACCTCAGCCACTGTCATTGAACTTTGAACTTTGCCTGCAAAAGAAAGAGACAAAAGTCACTTTTCTGATCTCTGACTAATGATTCAAACAAGTTATGGTCAGTGAGTCAATCCCTACTTACAGTAAGCCTATAGAACAGAGAACTGTCCCAGAGGGCCCAAGACCATATACTTTAGAAAAGTAGACTGTCACATTCTTTTTCCATAAAGTGGCTGGTAGTTTTGATGCATCAACTTTTCAGTTACAAGTCAAGTATTTAAATTCTGTACCACCAAGACACAACAGTTGAGATGATACCAGGCCCTATTTCTTATTTCCACAGGAATAGTTACATTTTAAGGTTGTAATCTGGTTGTACTTGGTTTCCAAAGTTGTAAACCTTTATAGGAGGAAACTGTCCATCTTTCCTGAACAGAGATCTTTCAGGCTAGACACATTGCCATTTTAACGTCAGGATTCCTTTCTATTTAGGTTAAAGACATAGTATTCATTTCTTATTCTTCTATCATGTCCTTAGAGTCCATATGTTGACCTTTTCATCTGCCAGAGTGCCTGAGGGTCAAATTACAGTTGACTGTGAAGCAGAGTGAGTCAAAGACCTAGTCCTCCCACAGGGCAGCCTACAGTGTGCTTCAATGTGTCATTGCCCACAGCACAGTAACACACAGTCCTGTCTGACATTTAAACTGAAGTTTTCTCCCAATGAAAGGTTGTTTTCCTTCATGATATATGACTTCAAAATCTTTATTGTTGTGGTTCTCGAGGGGAGATGGATTGTTTCATCAGGGTGTTGAATACACCAGAAGAGGATAAATACACCGTGGCAGCAGCTTCAAAGCAATTGTCAATAAAGAATTACCTTCAAGAGGGTCACTTGGCTTTCCATCTGGGTCACTGAGACTCCACTGCCTCCTCCTGGGAAAGCAAGGCATATTTCCTTGGGTGGCTGTTGTGTTTTTTGTTGTTATCATATACCATCCAGTCAGAACTGACCCATAGCTGACCCTCCAGCAGTTTTTAGAAGCAGTAAATCATTGGGAAGAGATTAGCCATCCTTCTCCATGGAGCAGCTAGAGAATTTGAACTGCATGCTTTGGGGATTGCAGTGCAGTGTCTTACCACTAGGCCACTTGAGCTCCCCTTTGCCCTGGGTATAAACTAATTAAACTTTGCTTACTTATATTACCTCACCATAACAATTGTGGTTACTTATCACATTGGCTGTGATTTCTTTCACTGGCTGTGCCAATAAGAAGCTGGAAAAGAGACTCCAAATGGACATTCTTCTGAAAGACCATCTTCCCTAACAAGATTCCTTGAGCAGATCCAAAGAAGGGAAAGAAGAGCTGAAGAAAGAAGTGAAGACCCTAAGAGTGAGGTAAGAAATGTTTACAACATGGACTTGTGGGTAGACCAACATCCATCAGAATTAAAGATACCTCTGCAATCAGAATTAAAGATACCTCTGCAATCAGAATTAAAGATACCTCTGCAGAAAGCAATGGAGTGAATTCCACAGATCTCATTTAGTCTGTATTTGTCCTAAAATTAAGAGATTCTGTAGTGTTCCATTAACAATTGTTGTTGTTGTTGTTAAGTGCTGTTGAGCTGTAGATGACTCATAGCTACCCTATGAACGAAAGACCTGAACACTTGTATAACTTTCATTGTTCCTTCAAGTTCATACAGTTTCTGGAGGCAAACTGTTTCGGAAGTGGATACTCCTCCTGCTCCCAAGTTTGTTCTAATCAGGGAGCTCCACCAAACAGTGTCCACCATGAGCAACCATTCTCGTATTTGACACATCAGTGTCACAGTGTTCAGCATCACAGCAACTACGAGTTACCTCTGTACAGCAAATAGACCAGTGCTATACAACTTAGAAGAATGTTTGACCAAAAACAATTAATCCATTAATTAGAGATTAAAATATTTCAGAAGAGACAAAATCCATAGGTTTACTTACCAAAGGAGCCAAAGAACCTTTCCTTAAATGTTTGTCATGGAGTCGTTTTTCTGTCTTGAGATTGGGAAGAGGGAAGAATGCTATTTTGATTGAAACAGAAATGTTTCTAGAGATTGATGTTGTTGTTAGGTGCCATCCAGTCAACCATGACACACAGGAACCCTGTGAACAACAGATTTAAGCCTTGGCCTATTCCGAGCCATCCTTACATCTCTGATATACTCCAACCCATTGTTACAGTCACTGTGTCTTAGCTGGGGTGTTTAGGTTTTATTATTCAAAATGGCTTTCTCTGACTTTGCTGCCTGATGAATGGGATCCTGCAAACAACTACAATAATCTGTCCACAAGAATATTGGCTAGTCTTGCATTAAATTGACTGGATTCAACAGAAGACATTGGGAATCTCAATACTAACAAAGAAGAGGAAGCAATGCACGTCCCTGAAGGCCAAAGATTCCTATACCAGCCAGATGAAGATCTATATGAGAGCAACAGCAGCTTTAGCAGAGAAACAGAGATAAACATGAGACAGAGCTGACTTGGGACTGCTGCCCCACAAACAGAACCAGAGTCTTCACAAGCTTCCTGGAGGTAAGATACTATAGCTGGCAAGACTAAGGAAACTTTGTACCATTGACCATAGCTGTGAGGCTGAAGGGTCTACAGCCATGCTTGAGAAATTGTCTGGACTGACAGATTGTATTCTGCTGTGAACCTGAGTTATATAGTCTGTTAATTTTACTAATAAACCCTATAACCATGGATGTGATCCTTTAAAATCTGTGTGGTCATTGCAACAAATTTCAGAGCAGTAGGACTGGTTTTACAATTAGTAGAAATAGGTACAGGAGTGTGGGAGACCATGCCTGACCTTAGAGGAAGTAGTTTTATACTGTTGTTGGTAAGGACAGTTGCCCTTCATGGAGTTAGTAAAAGTCAGACTTTGTTATCTTCATGCTGCCTACACTCTTTTTAAACCAATGTAATGTCTTTTTATAAAGATGGGACCCTTCTGACAACATGCCCAAAGTAAGTGAAAATAAGTTTCATCATCCCTTTCCCCTAAGGAACACCTTGGTTGCACTTTCTCTAAGATAGACTTGTTTGTTCTTTTAGCAGTCCATAAGATAGTCACTACTCTTCCCAAAAACCACAATTCAAAGGCATCAATTCTTCTTGTGTCATCCTTATTCACTGTCTAACTTTCAGATACATACGGAATAATTAAAAATGCAATGGATTCCGTCAGGATTGCCTTAATCCTTAAACTGACATTCTTAATCGTTAGCACTTTAAAGAGGTCCTTGGCAGAAGATTTTTCTGAAAGCAACATGCCTTTTGATTTCTTGATATTGTTACGATGGGTATTCAAATAAAAGTAAACCTTTAACAACTTCAATCTTTTCACCATCTATCATGATGTTGCCAATTTTCCCTATGGTAAAGATTTTTGTTTTCTTAATGTTGAATTGTAATCCATATGGAAGGCAGTGTTTCAAGTCCTCTCCATTTTTAACAAGTGTCTCTGCATAGCACAGGTTGTTAATGAGTCCTCCTGTAGTATTCACTTAGATTGCCTCCCTCCATCTTTATCTTAGACTAACTTCAGTCCTCAGACTAACTAGAGTTTGGCGCTAGTTTGGCTTCTGAGTTTGTTGAAGCTGAAATTTGTTTCTTTTCGTCTATGGGTCCCCCAGAACTCTAGCTTGGAGACTCCATAGTTCTCTCCTCCCAGGGAAGCCACACCCAGAACCTCCCCTCAGGGTTTGCGCTCAGCTCCCCCTACAGTCCCTCTCATTGTGTCTCCCAAAGCACAGTAGTACACAGCCGAGTCTGACACTTGAACTGAGGGCTTCTTCAGGTGGAAAGAACTGTCACCCTTAACATGGTCAGCCTGAAAACCTCTGTTGTCTATCTCCTGGTTTCCAGATGAGCTTTTCAGGAGGAGCTTGGGTGCTTCGTTTTGATACTGGACGTACCAGAAAAGGAAAGCTGAATAACTGGTCTGGTAAGTGCAGTTCAGGGTCAGAGGCGCTCCCTCCAGGAGAGAAACCTGGCCTTCTGTCTGGATCACTGAGTCTCCATGGGTCCCTCCTAAAAGTTACAGGATTTTATTATTTTGGAATACATAAACAGAAGATAGAGCCAGTCGGAAAAAGGGAAGTAGATATCACACACCCTCCACCAAATGCCCTAATCTAGGAATTAAAAAAAAATTTATAAATGAAGCATTACTCACTGGTAATTAGTAGCAGAACCACTACAAGCACTGAGCAAAAAGCTGAGAGCATGGCTCCTTGAGCTGCAGGAAACTGATAGCTTGCTGCTCTAATTTCAGATTCTGGATTTTGGCGTAGAATGTTCTAGAGAATTGTTGTTCCTTCAGTAAAAGCACCTTCTACTCTGCAGCAACTCCTCAGTGTAAAGAATGATTAATGAGAGTTAAACCACTTTGTGAATGTAGAAATAAACCACATCTAAGCGAAGGATTCTTACTCTACTCAACAGTACCCCCTTGTGGTTTTCCCTGCATCCTTCCTCATCATTTTTCGCACTTTGTTTATTTAAGGTCAAAGTTATCTTTGGATTTTTACATTGTCTCCCCATGTCAGCCTCAATATGGTTTTTGTTTTGTCTGTCTCAATGTGTCAGGAAAATATATTTGTTTACCATCCAAATAAAAGTAGGATTTGTTCATGTCACAGTTTCTGCACAGATAGCACTTAGGTTCAAACTGTCTGCTTCGTACTTAGATTCTTTTGCAGCAACCAAATTATTTGCTCTTAATTTCCTACACACTTTTCTCAACACAATAACTAAAATGGTCCTTTTTAAAGCTTATGTCAAATGAATCATTTCCTTCTCAACCTTCTTCAGTGAATCCCTGTCTCACTCCGGGTAAAAGTCAAAGATTTTCTTACAGCCTCTAGAACCTACAGGATCTGGACTCTATTATTTTTCTGATCACATCTCTTTCTTTTCTATTGCTACTTATTCCACCCCAGCCACAGGGCATTGTAGAAATTTATGGAGCAACAACTACCTCAGGCTTTTGACTTTCTATATATCCTTTGCCGGAATACTTTCCAGATAACTACATGGATTCCTTCCTAACTTCATTTGTATTCAATGATGATACTATGACCCTTTCTCCCCACTTAAGATTATAACTGAAGTGAACTCACCTCAACATTTCCTATTTCCATTATACTGTTGTACTTGTTTCTCCCAACACTTACTATCTTCTAATATACTATATAATTTATTAGATATTACATTTTTGGTCTATTTTCTGTCCTCCTCAATAGAATATAAGCTCCATAATGGAAGACCTTTTTGCCTGATTTAGTTACTTTTATAGACAGAAGGTCAAGAATTGCAGTCCTTCTAATATGGATTGAAGTTCAACAGTAAGAAGACAAAAGATTCTTACCACTGGGGTCAATTGGCAGCACCATAATAGATTGAGAAGAGACTGAGGTTATTAGCAATGTCAGCTTGCTCAGTTCCACAATCAATACCCTTGACACCAGCAGTTAGAAAAACAAAAGATTAATTGAATTGGGTGTATCTGCTGTTAGAGACTGCTCCATCATGCTGAAGAGCAATGATGCCAGTCTGGAAAATAGGGTGTGCCTGATCCAGGCCATGGTATTCACAATTACTTGTAATGCATCAGGGAGCTGGACAATGACTAAGGATGATAGAAGAAGAATCAGTGCTTTTGAGGTACAGTGCTGGAGAAGAGTGTTGAACATACCATGGACTGCCAAGAGAACAAACAGGTATGTCCTGGAGAGGGTGAAACAAAGTTTTGCCTTGGAGGCAATGATCTTGAAACTCTGCCTCACACACTTTTGGCAAGTTACCAGGAGGGGCAAGTCGCTAGAGAAAGACATCATGCTTGGAAGGATGGAGAACAACAAGAAAGGAAGATGCTGGATGAGATGAATTGACAAAGAAACTGAGGTAATGAGGGTAGGTGTGTCAAAGATAATGAGGTAGGCTTCAGAGCTGTTGTGCTTAGGGTTGTTATGAGTTGCAAACAACTCAATGGATCATAACAACAGCAACAACGTAGGTAAACTTGTATATCCTATATCATATAGAACAGTGACGAAGTTGCTCAGTATATTGCAAAATACACATTGCTCATAAATGTATATACTGAGTTGTTTTAAAAACTTTGTGTGGTGATTTTCAATACAATTAAGGAGGGTAGAAAGATGAAGAAAGTACATTTAATGCTTAGTTGTTGTTATATGCCATCAAGTAATTTGTGCCCCATACAGCAGCTCTGCAGACTGCCCTATACTAAGCCAGTCTCACTGACTCCAACACAAGTACCCGCACGGCCCCAGTTACTGTATCAATCCATCTTATCCAGGGTCTTTCTTTCCTGCACTATCCCTCCACCCTTCCAAGCATGAAGTCCTTCTCCAAGGACTGGTCACTCCTGGCCCCATACCGAAAGTAGGTGAGACAGAGCTTCAAAGTTGTAGCCTTCAAGAAGAAATTTGGTTTCACCCTCTCTAAGACAAATCTTTTTTTTGGGGGGAGGGGGGGAAGTCCATGGTATGTTTAAGACTCTTTCCCAGCACCACAACACAAAAGCATCCATTCTTCTGTCATCCTTACTCATTGTCCAGCTCTCTGATGCATAGCAAGTAATTGTGAAGACCATAGCCTGGATCAGGCACATCTTAGTCTCTACACTGATGTTGTTGCTTCTCAGTACTCTGGAGAGGACTCAGAAGAATTTTCTGGTAAAATTTATCTTTTGATTTCCTAACTGCTGGTGCCCGAGAGTGCTGTTCATGGAGCCAAGCAAACTGTAATTGTAAACAACCTCTATCTCTTTTCTATTAATCATGGTACTGCCAATTGACCCAGAGGTGAGAGTCTTTGTCTTCTTGATATTGAGCTTCAATCTGTATTGAAGACTACAGTCCTTGACCTTGTGCAGCAAGCTATTCAGATCCTCCTCACTTTCAGAAAGCAAGGTTGTATCATCTGCATAATGTAGGTCATTGATGGGTTTTCTTCCAATTCTGATGTCACATTCCTCTTTATAAAGCCCAGCCTCCCAAATGATCTGTTCTGCATATAGATTGAAAAGTATGGAGGTCAGATGCATCCTTGACACATTCCTGTTCTGATTTTCTTTTTTTAAAATTTATTTTTCATTTCAATGAACATCTACAGAGATTTTGCACCACTCTTTCTTTTTTTTTTAAATTTTTTTAATTTTTTATTACTTTGTGTGCGTGTACCGTCAAATTAGATCTGACAGGTACGGGAGGATATTGCGCCTCCTTCTCTGGCAGAGCATCTGGTGGATTTGAACCGTGTTCCTCTGGGATTGCAGTGCAGCTTCTTGCCACTAGGCCACC